TCCCAGTCTTTCTTCCAAATGTCGGCAACTTCACCGACTTCTTTTCCCCTGTCGTCCCTCTGGATGATGCATAGAGAGTCTATCCAGATATATGAGAAGCCGAGAGCTATAGTAGTGGTGATTGCATCTTGCACATTTTGGGAGAGGCCAGCAAAGTCAATTCCCTCATAGCAGGAATCAATATTACTAGCTAGAAGCTTGAATCGCATTTCAGCTGTTGGACCCCAACAGTGACTAAACGCCAAATATTCGGCACCAGAGTCTGTTTGACAGCTTTCCACCAGCTTTAGGCACTCTGGAGGATACCCGGGCATCCAGTTATTGCCGCCGCGCACATACAACATTCGCTTTGGAAGTTCTAGCTTGGTGTTTCCTACACTCTGGCAGACCTTGTGACTTTCTTTACACATGTTGAGCCATTTTCGAGCCTGCTCAAAATGCTGAGTGGAGCCAGTTTTGTTGTACTGAACAGCTGGGGACGCTGTCACTATTGTCAATAATGTTGTTTATCACAAGTGTAATGGAGACTTACGAGTGGCAAAAAGAGTACTCCGATGAACCAACAGTCGAGCTCCTATCGGAATATCGCCCCAGAAGAGTTGCATATACGTATAGAGCGACAGCGGCCGCTCCTCCCATACCTTTATTCGCAATTCGGCGTATGGATTCTGCGGACTTGGTAGACCAGTGTCGTCAAGGATAATGTTTCCCATTTGCTTGCCACTGGCTTCGATGGCTTGCTGGCGCTTTGAACTCATAGAGTACCACAAGAGACAGCAAAGACGACAAGGTGGTTCTGGGAGGGCTGATACTTGATTGATTGCTTCATAGTTGACCTGGGGCGTCTCAAACTTGGAACTAAACTCGGCCCTGGACCAAAAGTCGTGCCATTCCACCATTTGCGTAAAGTATGAGGGGCTTCCCATGATGAGCTTGGAGTTGCTCGTAAAGTGATCGCATCGTTCGCACAAAGCCATCTCATTAAGAGAGTCTTGATCTCTTGAGCTGAGTGGAAACCAGCTTGGTTTACTTTTCCTCCATTTGTCGCTGAATAGATTAAAGGGAAACAAGTCTTCACTCATGCCTCCAAGTATATAAAACGTGTAGATGAAGAATGACGCAAAGCGAAACACCATGATCGTAACAGCCCACAAAATAAATCTGCCGAGCGATTCATCAGGTCGACACCCGACACCCAATCCGACAACCACAGTAGTCTGCATCACGTACCAGAGGGGCTTCATATTCGGCGCAAAGGCGTACATGATGGCCTGGAGTAGAAGCCACCAAGCGCCCATCCAAAGAAACCCGAATTCCTCGTTATAAGGCCACATTTGGTTGCGCAAGATACCTGCCGTGGCGAAGAACACCAGGACCGCTCCGAAATACCCAGGATTCGAGAGAAGGTTGGCGATGGAGACTAGGACCGCCACCAAGGCCGTTATCACAAAATGGTGAACCAAGACCCCGGGTAAATGAATTCCATCCCTTTCAATATGCGTACTAAAAAGCACAACGCCATAGCATACAAAGCTCCCCATCGTCGGCGGGAAGAACGAAATCGCACAGATGCCGACTATGATCCAAAAGACCAGAGCCGGCATCTCATAGTCGGATCGAATAAAGAAGCGAACCACAGCCAAAAGAATAGCCGTAGTCTTGTAGTCTTTCTTCTGTACGAGGAAGAATAGATCCCCGTATATAAACCAAAAGCATAGCCAGAAAGCGACCCAGATGTGTTTCGGCATCTGGTTGTTGGTCGCTCTCATGAGAATCAGGTAGCCATAGAACTGGATCCTGAAGACGAGCTTGAATCCGGTTAACACGCATAATACGAAGAGGATCCAAAACGCAGCCCAGAATCCGGGTCCCATTTTGGCGATTTCCATTTTGGTTCGTATTCTCAGAAGTCGCATTGCCTACGGTATGACAAGAGTTTCAGCTGTAGGCCCAAGGAAGCTGTAGGCCCAAGGATGGAAGTGGGGAAGAGCCATCAATATTGGATTCTGGGGCTCAGCTCGGTGTTTATCCAGCCCAGCGCAAAATCACGGGCAACCAAATATGTCTTATCTTTGAAGGCTCATAGGTACTCACATTGTGTTCCATCACTCGACCAGAGGAAGATAATACACTCGCCACATTATTATTGCAGGTTTCCGCCGCCATATATTACACTGCATCCCGCCGCGAATAGCAGATCAAATAATGGGCGGAAAGTTGCATTTGAAACAAGAAATAGATTAAACTGCCTAATTTGCAAATTAATTAGATATGCATTAGATGTATGGAGCACAGCAAGCTCCTCAAAAGCGTGAGGCGGCACCATCTACATTATGTCTGCACAGACACATCTCCTCCCTCATTCATCAAAAGAGTTCCCTCCAGCCTCTGCCTTCGCCAGAAATTCGTCGCATTCAACAACTGCTCATCAATCAGAAACCACCACTTCCTCGCAAACGTCTCCGAAACCTCCCACCCCATCCCATCCCAGGCAGCATCGCCCCAGACCCGGAACGCATCCTCAACCAGGTCTTGCATCAGCTTGGCCTGGTCAACGGCATCGGCCGATCGTAGGAGCCTGTCGCGAACACCCGGGATGGGGATGATGTCAACGAATGGAAGATGAGGAATCGTCTTTTGTAGCTGCGTGGGTGTGAGGTGCGAGGGCATGGAGACGTTGGGGGGTCGAATGTGCGGGGCTGGTTGATTGGGCAGGATATCCGGAGGAGAAGGGCGATATTTGAGTACGCGGAGAGTGTAGAGAGTTGACCAATTATTAGAAAATGGGCGTCGATATTCGGTGATGGAACGAGGTCCTGGGGAAACTCTGAATAAGTTGGTGCTGGGGTAGATGTGTCGGCATGGAAGTCTTCCCCATCTATATGTCGACCATTTCTCACTACCGGTAAGGGAGAACCTGTAGTATTTCTATCCAGCTGGGATTGATTCCATTCATTGGGACTTTCATTCATGAGTAAACCGATGCCAGAAGCTGCACCATCCTCGCCAAAGAGTCCTCCCAACTCATGACCACCACTCTCGGAATTGCTGCCTACAGTGCTCTGTCTGGCTTTAAGATTCGCTCCTTTACAAACGGTTATCAATCATCAGTCTCGGTCCACAAATCGCTAAACGTTGCTTATTAATGTCCTCGACTTCATAGAAAAACCTTCCACTTACTCCGCGCTCTCTGAGCAAGTCTATTCTGGATCCTCTTTCGATCATCGCCATTAGCAACGTTGGACCAGTCGTCCTGTGGCCCGAGTACATATGGCGTCCAAATGCCACGCATATTCATATAATCTCGATGTAACGTGAACAGAATAAACGGGTGTATCGAGGCATGACAAACGAGTTGGCAATTACGGCAGTGAGATTGGGTGGGTGGATCTGACGCTGGTAGAGACGGGAGTTGGGTGTCTGACATGGGCGGAGTATTTCTGACCATCTCCGCTGAAGTCCGCCATGGTCAGTTATACATGATCGATCTTAGTAATTTCATGGCGGAGTTTATCGTTAAATCAGACTTCCATTGTCATTCCTGCAGTTCCATCTAGATACAAGCAGCTAAACCGTTTCATAGCATGATTTGGTCTTACAACAAGAACTTTCCGTCAACTACAACAGGCAGCTCATCTCCCACCGAAAACTGGACAGTCGTAAAATCGCAGTATTCAGCCACATCCGCATTCAGATACTCTGCATGGGCAGGATCGCGAAAGAATGCCGCCATATCTGCGACGGTTGGGAAAATCAGGGTAGAAATTCCATCCATGTCGGAAACGATAAAGTGCTGGGCAAGCTCCTCGCCGATTTCCTTTCGAAACTCGACCGCGGTGGAAGAAGGAAGATGGTGCTAATATTTGAGTCAGTCGTCAGATGGTAGCAGATGATGATGCTCGCTTTCATACCTGGAGATAAGAAATCGCATTATGCTTCATCGCCACTGGCCCAGCCTTTTCTCCGTGGAGAGCAAAGCGACGAGAGAATTCCTCCTTGCTCACGCCCTCTTTTCTGCTGCCGCTGACGGTTGCTCTGCAAACACCACTGAAAGGCGACTTGCTGGTGGTCTTTGAGTCGCTCATTTTGTCAAGACAAGTAAAGAGTAAACGTCCGAGATGTGTGTATGATGAGATAGTTTAGCGAAGGATGGATTGAATGATGAGCTTTGTTATTTGTCCATCTAGAAGGGAACTCTGAGGATCTTATATGAACCTTTTCTGACACGATCTAGCCAATTTTCTCCGAGATTAGAAATGCATCGTATACAGACTATTCCAAGTAGTGTCAGAAACTGACTGTCAGAAAGTTGCAGTGACGCCAGCAGTCAGAATCATGCAATGCCCGGTGGTCAGCATTTTGGGGACAAGTTCTTCAACCTTACCAAATCATTGACTAAAGAAAAGCCAAGAACACCTTCTAAATAAACTTGCCATCACATTTGACAGAGCTTGTCGTAATGATATGGTGATGTCGCTTGGAACCCAGCCTCCAAAGATGTGTGTTTGGCGAGATGAGAATGGACACACACTGCTACCCGGGACATGGCCGCTTTTCTGTCTTGAGCAATCGAACTACTTGATCAAGTCATATTCATCGTAGTCAATTTACTAGTTTTAAAAAGAGGAGATTGTCGGTTATTTCATAGAATTATCTGGATGTAGGGCTCTCTACACTTATTGTGAATCGCGTTGTTCGATGCGTTGGGTTGCTTTCAATACACACTCTATTCAACTAGAACTGTTGGATCCCCAATAGGACAGCCCGAGTCTTGCTCTGCAGCAGGGGATTTGATGTTTCTAGTAGGCGTATTATCTAGTTCAAAAATTCAATTCGTTTAATTCGTGTTGTTTACCGCATTTTATTTCGCTCTTGGTTGGTATCTGATGATGATTCTTTGAAGATCCATTGCTTCTGGAACATCGTCTTCCACAAGTTCTCGTTTGCTGACTGGATGTGGGTTCTTATTTGCTAATTGGCTCCCTCTTCCTCAACAACAAGTGGCCATAGCTCAGCTGGGAGAGCGTCAGACTGAAGTCAAACTTCAAGTCCAATAGGAATATCTGAAGGCCGTGTGTTCGAGCCACACTGGCCACATTCTTTTTTTGCCCTTTCTTTGTTTTTTGCCCCGCTGGGGATTATCCTAGATATGGACTCTTGGGTGCTGACGTAATGGTATCATCTGTTGTACTGTGAGTGGAGGCTATTGCGATGAAACGAGTGATGATTTTGATGTTGGTTGATGATGAATTGGAAGTCGTAAGATGGATGAGAGAGGAGGAATAAATTGGAATTCTATTGGATGGATTGAAGAGTCAAACTGCATAGATTTGCCACCCAGACCCGACACCTAAAGACCCTGGAGCCTTAGAGGCATCCATACCTAACCATTAGGCGTTCCCAGGTGTTGCCTCCCCTATAAATACAGAAGGGCTTTCCACTAATATTCCGCTATAAGGAATTGGAACCTCGAGAGTAGGCCCTACGCAGCATGGATGCTCCCTGCCGTTTTTAGTTGGACCCAAGGATGCCAACTCTCTTCATGCCACTCATTTCAACGGGCAAAGAATACGTCATGGGCATATTTAATGTGGACATCTCATTCATTTCATTTAATCAATCCGGATGAAAAATGCATTCCTGGCCTTCCGAACGATTCATATATACATATCCAATTATTTGTACAAGCCAATAATCTCTCCAACGACACTGCGGTACACGCCGTTTGGATCAAACTTTTCCCTCACAGTCTTGAAACGGGCAATGTTCTAAAGACTGGTTAGAATACGGACTCGTTTTACCCCATCATAAGAACGGTGACTCACCTTGGGATCAATGTTCTTGACAGCGCGCTTGAACACGTCTCGCGTGTTCTTTGTCCAATGTGGGCGGCAAGGGAACTCCTCCACCAACGTGTTGGCGAGGTTAATATCTAGAAACTGTTAGCAACAGACACCATAATGGCGAGTCTTGGTCTGGTAAACATACAGAAATCTTCGTTGTATCGCTTCTGATCGCCGAGGCTGGGGCGGAAAGAAGGAAAGTCGAACATGATGGCTCCCTTGCTCCAGTCTTGGCCATCAGAAGTGCCATAGGTAACCTGGCCGAGCAAGTCGAAGTGAGGCTTGCCAAACTTGATGTTGATACCACTACGGTAGGTCGAGGCCATGGGCTTGCCCTTCTTCTCTTCGGCATCAAAGAGCTCACGCACGCGCTTCAACATTTCGTTGGCTCGAGTCACTGGGAAAGCCAGCTCCAGAGTGTAGCCCTTCAGACCATACTCCCACTCAGGCTTCTGGCCGGGGTACAAGCCGCCAATCAACACATCATAGTTCCATCCATACACGGGCCACTTGTCAATAGCCGCATCGGATTTCTTGTCGTGGAAGTTGGGCTTCTCCCAGATACCAAAGAAGATGCCCTCTGCAGCAAGGTTGGGCAAATACCCGAGCTTGCCACTGTTGAGAAGGACAACGGCCGCACCACCCTCGAGAGCTGTAACGGAGAAGGTAGACTGGAAACCTTCTTGAGCGCTCGTGTTGGCGGGAACTGCGTCGTAGTATCGCCAATGGAACTTGCGCTGATGTGGCCACCACTAATTGTACTGTCAGAGACTGAACCATTACCATATGCTGTTTGGTACATACCCAAAAGTTGGCCGTCATATATGGGGAAATCATTCCGTAGATGTCTCCGTTGAGAACATCCTTTTCATCGAGACTGTAATTGTCAGTTTCAACTCGCAATGTCCTGAACGTTCAACTTACGTTTTCTGCATAGCATAGACCTTTGTCTCGGGGAAGATTTGCATCTTGGCTCTGGCGATGACGCCTAGCAGGCCGAGAGAGGTAGACGCGGCGAGCCAGTCGTCGTTCTTTTCATCCTTCTCGATGTGGCGAATGTTTCCATTACCATCGATAATGTCCAAAGCAAGCACACCGCCGACAACGACAGCATCCTCTCGGAGAGAAGTACGATGGGCACCCATGGCGATACTTCCTCCCAACGTGATGTTCCAGTTTACGAGACCCGTTCCGATGTTGGCCCCGCGCTCGTGAAGGTACTCGGCGAGCTGAAAGAATGTCACGCCACCCTCCACCACGACGCTTCCGCTCTCAAGGTCGAAATCAGAAATGCCGTTGACGTTTTCGGTTCGAATGATGACGGTCGGGTCGTCGGAGCACTGGGTGTCGTACCACATGTGGCCTTTGCCCGCCGCACGGATCTGGAAGCCTCGCCCTACTGCATCCTTGACGAGGTGTACCATGTCATCCACGCTGGTGGCGTTGTGTACTTCGACGACATTGTGGCATGAGGGAGATCCTGGACCATCGAAGGTGTAGTACTCAAAGGCTTGGGACAGGCCCAGCACTGAGGCCAGGGCCGCGAGGGAAGGCAGACGAAGCATGGCGCCAAGCTTCGATCGAACAATGATTGCTGCTGTGCACAGGACGGAAGGTTACAGCGGCCTTTGGCCTCTTATATGACTCTCCAAGACCGAGCAGAAACACCAACGGAACTCGCTCTTCTTTGACCCATTGTTACATCCGCGGTTTGGACTCCTCCCTTTCAATGTATCATGACCATTATCCAAGACATGTGAAAGCACTATCTCCAGATCTGGACATTTCGACCGACGAACCTGGGGTAAAAATCGTCGGTTGGGTTCCTGTCAGGAACAGCCAGGGGGAAGCAGGTCCCATTTCTTGACCTACATTGACACTATCATTGGCCGGTGGGCAATAGGCATGATCAAAATAAACCTTGTCTAAAAAAACAACGGCCTTGACCTTTAGCTTCCGGGGTTTAAGTCTAAAAGCAACGTCAATTTGGTGGAGATGTGGTGCGGGGGAACGATCTGGGGCAACTAAAGGGGGTTTGAATGGGTTTGAATGGTAATGGAAAAAGAGCTCAAGCTGTGAAAGAAGTTAGCCCATCAGATGCAATGGAACGCTGGGGGTGGATGTTTGTGGTAGGACTCTCTGCGGGGAAGGCAAACAAACAATTAATAGGCTAATATCTCCTCACCAACGTCGTATTGTTTACACATCATCTGATTAGGTTGAAGAAGGCCAGCATTGTATTGTCGGAGGAGCCGATGGATTGTTTCTTTACAAAGGTCGTTCAAATGTCGTTGCGACAGCATTTTGTAACGTCAACTATGAACCCGTGAGCTGGCCGTCAAGTCTTTCACAATCTTCAACTATTTTTTTATTTCACATCCCCACATCCATAACGACCATGGATACCGGAGGCAAAAACCGTCGGTAAATTCGGTACGGTGAGGGCATGCATCTCGGATTCGGTCCTTTTCACACGGGTCCCGCGGGCCACCACCATGAGCTTCCGTATCAAGCCTTTCCCGTTACATTGGCCACCAGCCCTAAGGAGGATGCCATGCTTGAATTGCAAACTTCTGTGGTGGTCTTGTAGATGATTTCTTCTCATCTAGATGTGATGTTGGTAAACATGCTTCCTGTTGCTTGGGCGGTCAGCGACATGACCACCGTTGCGATTAATCACAAATTTCTGTGTATAGGTGAAACACTGGGTCATGCGGAGGCCTACGATAGATATGTAGGTGTTCTTAGGTAGGACTCAACCGCTGTCGTCTGGTAGCGGATCAATCAATGAAAGAACATTCAAGAGCTGTTCCATCAGCTATGGTTGAAGTAGTGTCCTGGCATGATCACGAATGCGATGCATCCAACACTGCGCAGATGGAGGTTGAGCACAAGGAACTATCCATTTTCCAAAGGCAAACCTAACTAGCAAATGAACTAAAAGAAAGGAATGTAGCCATAAAACCCAAAATATCTCAATCAACTCAGTACTCGCCATTCAGCGACCCTATCCTTAAATATCATCACCAACGATATGACCACGCTCTCTCTTGGCCGTGAACATTTTAAGCGGTCTTGATACTTTGCCAGAATAATGACGGGTCTGGCCTGGGCTCTCCCTTCACACGCGGTTCTAACATTATATTTTCAGATAACAGGATTTCTTCCATCCGTCTTTGTTGCTCGATGCATCCCTTAAAGCATTCGACAGTTTGGTTTGCCAACGTTGTTAGAAGGGCACCATTCGGCGCACCCCGCAAGTTGGATGCGATGGAATACATTCCCTCCACAACTTTCTTCATGGGTTCCGTCAAGAGCTGGATTTGCTCTGTCCAGGTATACTCCTCCATGTCTCCCTTGACCTGGTCAATCCAGCCCCTGAGCGTGTTCATACTGGTGAACGAGGCCCACATACGCAGGCGCTCCCGGATTTCTGACGGGAGGACATGGACATTGTGCTCGTTGAAGGCTTTCTGAATGGGTATTTTAACGCTCCAGTCGCTCGGCGAGTTGCGGATGCGGTCTAGCAATTCGCCGTATTGAGCCAACAGGTCACTTCGTCTGATGGTGATGGTGCGTTGAACTTGCGTGGCGTCGTGAACGCATGGTGTTGGGGATTGTTTGCGTTGATTGGGAACCTGAAGTTGATCTTGCACTTCAGGCTGGTCGGGCACTTCAGGTAGACCGTGCACATCAAGCAGACCATGTACCTCAGGCTGATCGGGCACCTGAAGTTGATCGGGTGTATTAAGCCGGCTTGACGTTTCCACGCCTCTCATCTCATCTATGAGTTGCTCGGCCGCGAGCGCATTCTCAGCAGAGACTTGAGCATGCTCGTTTGTTCTATTATAACTCTCTTCTCTTCTGGCCCTTGCTGGCATGGCTCTGGCGACAGGGCTGGGGTAATCCACCATGAAAATAGTTGGACTATTGGGGCGGTAGTGTACAATTGCGGTTCTCGTAAAGTCGAACAATCTCAACTGGTTGATGAGATGGATTGGCCGATCTGAATCGATCCTGAAATACATCATGAGAATGATGCAGATGATAATGGTTGTGGCTGGTAAACAGAATGCATTCCCATATTGCCGACAAGCGTCTCGAGCATCCTCTAATAACGAACAGGTGGCAACGAATGATCCCCACTGGGTCCATGAGGTGGCATTCCAGATCCCTTCCCTGACGCACCTCTCAACGCAGCTGTTGAAGCAGAGCAGGTGATCTCGTTTTTGGACGCCAACTGCCCTGAACACT